AACAAGAGGCCATGGCCTTAAGTTACGCCAGCAGAGGTACAGATTGGATGTCAGGGAACGTTTCTTCAGTGAAAGGGTTCTCAGGCACTGGAAGGGGCTGCCCAGGGAGGTGGCTGAATCACCATCCCTGGAGGTGTTTAAAAGACGGGTAGATGGGGTGCTCAGAGATATGGTTTAGTAGTGGACAGGTATGGTTGGACTCGATGATCTCACGAGGTCTTTTCCAACCAGGAGATTCTATGAACGCTAGACAGGTTCTGGGGAGAAAATGGAGTGGGAAAAGGGAAGAGGCCGTTACTCAGTACGTGAATCAGCTCATGAGTCTTGTGCCTGCAGGGAACAGCTTGTCAAGGTAGGCAATGCACCACCAGCCACAGCCTCCCAGGCCATGCAGCAGGCTTGAGAGTATTTCTGACTTGTCTCCCTGCCTTTCTCACTAGCTCCTCAAATTTCAGCTGCTGCTTTTGCTTCTACTGAGCCTCACATCCTGTGGTCTTCTTCATCAACCCCAACAGCTTTTGTCAAATACTGGTAGATGCTCGGCCTCTGGTTTGTGTTAAGAAATCTGAATAAGAGAAACATGTCAAATAAGGACATACAAGTGGTTGTAAAGTGAGATAGTGCTGCAGTCCAGTCTGTGGCAATGGCAAGTCCCTGGGGAGGTCACCAGTCATGAGCAAAATAAGGACAAGAACATGGGAAGTATGTAGCAATATAGTTTCAAAATAGTCTCTCACATACAAGGTGCCTCTGAATTGACACCTCCAGGGGAAACTGGTCTTCAGGTGGCAGGTCTGGAGGTAAGTACTGACCCATCAAGGAGATCAAGGCTTATTCAGCCCTAGGTTGCAATCAACAAATTTTGCCATGTCTAGATCCAAAAAGTTTTTTGAAATCCCTGGGTGAGTTGCAATGTTTTGGGAGTACTTCTCCTGGGCTTGGTGACAAAGGCAGAGCAAACTCCTCAGTAAGGGCACGAGTCACGGGCATACCAGTGGACTTCCCTAGAGCTGCTGAAGGTAGACAGAATGAGCAGAAACGCTTGCCATTTAAGCAGAGTACACAGGGTCATCGCCAGTCCTCAAATACTCCTGCACTGTCAGTCCTCACACAGCTGCCCACAACACAAAGGAAATACATAATTTGATGCAGAATAATAAAAGCAGATGGCATTAGCTGAGGAAACTGAAATGTGTTATTCCTCTTCAGAATCTTTTAGGCAGTGGTACCTGGGAAGAAACTGTTGGAGCTATTTGCAGCAGAAATACCTTGTGGGTTTTCAAGTCTATTCTGAAAACCTTTAAGGCAACAGGCAGGTTGCCCCACTCTGGGACAAGACTGATCTTTGCAAGAGATCAGGTTATGTGACAGAGTAAGGACGTCTCTTCTGGGGACATGTGGATAAGCCGCTCAACCTGATGAAGTTCTGGACCCACGTACCCAGTGGCCAAAGCCAACTGAGGCAATGACTTGAAGGAAAAGTCAAAAACTTGAGGTCAAGTCAGACAAAAATTAATAACCAAAGACCTCACAAGGACAAGGACAACACAATTTAACTAGAGCCAGGGTGAAAATCAAAATGTCAGAATAACCCAGAAAGGAACCAAGCACTATTTAGGAAACAAAGTCCAGGCAGGAGCAGCTGCAGAAGATGAGGGCACAGCAGGAGCTGCTGATGCAAAGACAAGGATTTAGACATAACAGCAGCAGATCAAAAGATTGAACAGAAGAGAAAGGAGGAGAGAGAAACTTTCCCTAAAGTCCTGAGAGATGCACATCATCAACCAGCTCACAAGCTCTAACCTAACTGTAGCTGCCTAAAGGGCTGGGAGCCGAGCCAAGTCCTATCAAGAATTCCTCTGACATTCAGGAAAAGTCATTCACAGTCTAGGACACTTTGCACATGTTTCTTTCTAAGTAACTTTTAATGCCATAACATAAGTCATCACCTGAACCACACACTACCAGATACCAAAAGGAAAGAAAACCCTCTGTATGAACTTTCTAGGCAGCCACACTGAGGGAGAGAGACCCGGGGCGGGCCAGGAGATGCGTGCGCTTCCCTAATGATTCATTTTCCCCACGCTCTGCTTGGATAAAGACTTTTCCACTAAAGACTCATGAGCCATCCTGTTTTTCAGGAGAACACGCAACTGTGGGTGAGGTGCTTTAGAAGTGGGAAGTAAAACATTTTTGTTCACCTTACTTCCTAATGTCTAAGAAAATATGGGATTGGAATTGGATTCTGCACTGGACACATACTCCAATCCATACGTTCTAACATATGGAATGGTAACCTGGGAATCCGTAATTCTCTCTGTGGAGCCACAGAACAATTCCCAGTGTCACTGGGACAGAACCAGACTTCTCTGCACTACTGCATTGGTGTACACAGGAAAGCAAAGGGATCTCCTGGACCCAACCACCTCTCAACAGTGAGAGCGCGTGCCATTGCTGTTAACACACAGACTCTTCCCCCAGCTCTTCCTCACTCAATACCCTTGAATTTTAAGGTGGAGGCCTGTCTAGGACTTGAGGTCACATTCAGTAATGCAGAGACGTGGAAAACAGCCAACACCCTGGATTTAAACTATATACGTGGCCTGCATTGATGCGATGAAGTCTCTCTGATCCAAGTGGGGATTCATGAGAGCACTATTAGGAGAAGAACCAAAGAACGAAGATATAATCAGTCACAGCAAAAAAAGTCTGTCTGAGCAGCACAGCAAGCAAATAAAATAGCAAAACAGAGGAAAAAGGAAAATTAGCATTTTGATTCACTAGCAGGTATTGCAGATTGGCTAATGAGAACTCTCGGATAAATGAAGGCCTTCCCACCTAGCAACTTCTTCTGAGTAGTGGTCTCTACTTGATTATTCCTTAGGATTCAGAACCAGCCACTGAGAACTCAATGAGCCACAAGACAGATGTAGTGGGATGAGAAGTAGCAGTTTATATTTTCCAGTTTATGCAAAACTCTCCACAAAATAATAATAAAAAATCACTCAAAAATTATACAGTATCAGCCCATCCTTTGATATTCATTCATCAGCAAAAATAAAAGTAAACACTGTCTGTCTTAAAGTTAAAAGGACCATTAATCAAGAAAGATGGACTGCTGGAAAACACAAATGACAGCAAGGTTTCAATACAGGTACTTGGATTCAGCCCTTGTCTCCTCTTAGTTACATAAAGTGCCAAGAAAAGGTATAGGAAATATTTCATGAGTCACACTAATAAGTTAGGTTTTTTCCTAACTTGCCCCAATAAAGTGGATGAAAATTATATCACAGTAACCAAACACATACGTTTTATGCTAAAAGTATAATTGAAAATACATATTTAAATGTTAACACTCACGTACTGAGATACAGTGTAGAAATTACATTTTAGACCACTGATTTTATTTTGCAGACTAAAACAAAAATAATTTTCATATTTAATGAAAAATCTTTGTATCTTTGTCTACAGAAAAACTGCTAGTTCTTGATTTCTGAAGTACTTCACATTAAAGTCTGGACTGGTAAACTTTAGGAAATCTATTCTAAACATTCAGTGCCAAAACTTAGCTGGAAGTCACAGAAAAAAAATATTATGACAGCTTGTAGCATTAAGTTTTTAATTTTAAGCCCCACACAGTGACATATGTGGAACAGGCAAGAATAGAAGGGAAGGGAAAAATTTACACAAAATACTATGTTCAGCATTCATGCTAAGAAGGCAAACAGACCTGTCCTGTTGAGTGCATGGACACATCTCTGCATCAGTTTCAGAAGCATACGCTTTAATACTTCATTTTTCAGTGAACCAGTGACATTTAAAAATACCCCACTTGAGAGACTTGCAAGAACTGTGTATGTGTATTATTCAGTTAATCCTTTGCATCGATAAAACAACTATGTGTAAAGAGAATTACTGTGGTCCCTACAATAGCACACTGTGGCTTACAACTTTATTGTAACACTAATTGCAGGCAAGACTGATTTATTGTCATGTTTATGCCATTCAAGTTTGTTGTCGAGTCAGCTTATCAAAAACACTGCTTAAATGATTTTTCAGTTATACAGTTATACAGAATAATGATAAAGAACTGAAATTGGTAACTAGGAGGAAGTATAACAAAGTAACACACTTTGTCATCAATTTAACGTATGCCAAATTAGAGTCAAATGATGGAAAACCACTGAAATTGCTCCTTAAAGGAACACATATTTATATAAAGTGGCAAGTAAAAAGTTTCATGGATTTTTTGGTCTATTTACTAAGAAAGCATTCTTCACAGACAGGATGAAAACTCAGAAGCCACAATCACACTATATTAGACTGGCTATTCAATTTAACTACACTGCATATGGTTCCACATGAAGTACTATTTTTAAGCCTTCACAGTCTTACTGATGGCAGACACATGGATCAGTAAACAGTTTAAAAAAAAAAAGTGAATTTATTTTTTTACTTCATCACGTATGATTAATTTTGTAGAAACAGTCCGTCATGTTTTAAATCATCCTTAAGGCAAGCATTATTTCTCCGGTGTTAAGGACATAGTATTAGTTTGAATTCATATAAAAATAGCAAATTCTTGAAAGTATAACACCATAACAAAAATGCTAAACCAAACATATTACACTTAGACAAAATGAGTTCTCTACCAGCATTTATGGTCACGTGCTATGGTCTGACATTGATGTTTCTAACATCATATCACTTTCATTCATTTCAATCTCAAATGTTTCTTCCAGTGGGCGACTGGTATCTGTGCTTTTCCTTTGATGTGAGGCCTCTAATGTTACTATGCCACTTTCATCCAGAGTTTGTCTTTCTATGTCGAATTCTCTGAAATCCCAGGGAGGTGAAATTATGTTCTTTAATGTCTTCATAGTGTGTACATCAAAGTCATAACATCTTAATTTGTCTTTGATCTCTGTTCCTAGGAAAACAGTCAAACCATTAGTTTATTCCAAGTGAACACTCTCAAAAAATGTATTTCAAATAAACTATCATCCAGAAACTACTATGGTTTGCTGCTTTCAGACCATCAGGGAGCTGTCACTGCTTAACGTGAATAGAGTTGTTCTGAAAAAATCCATCAGCCTCCTTTTTGAAAAAAGCACAACATAAGAAGTACAACTCAGATTCAAAAGTTTTATCAGAAGTAATTGCCAATTCCCTTCCCAATTCTCTAAGAGGCTTTTTTTTTTTTTTTAAGTTCCACACAGCATGGTTTGCATTAATGCATATCACAGTTGCATGGTTCTTCCAGATATGTTAACTGACTACATATGGAGCAAGACAATACTGAGAAGAAACATCTGCTTCAATTGTGTGAAAAATATGCAGGAAAAGCAGTAGAGCACACAGATGGCTTTTACTGGCTTCAGCCTCATTAACATACTTGACAGGACATCAGCTGTGTTCATTGCAGATAAATCACGAAGTTCAATGAAGCAGTTGCTGTGAAGTGTTTTTTTTGGGCAGAAAGCTTTCATATAATATTTCAAACTATGGCAATATAGTGTATCATTGTTATGAAGCACTTTTTTTTAACCATATGTAAAGCTTTATTTTTGGAGGCAGAAGAATTTATCCTGTCTCCACAGAGCAGAGTTTTGACACAGTGAAAATGCCTTGCCCATTCTCTCTACAGCAGCATTAGCTGAAATGAAGTCCTCTGAGTTTCTAACTCCATATTTCTGTTTTATTTTTTCCCCATTCCCTTTGGTTTCTAAGCTGCCACAAATCAACATTTTCTATAAAAGAAACCATCACCACCTCCAATGGCAAAGTGTTTCCTTTCTTATACTGGTAAGAATTTACTGTCATGATGCTTACAAAAAACAGCGGTCATCTGCAATTGCTGATAAGTTCTAACTCATTTAGCCATTTAATGAAAACCCTAAACAACAAAAACCCAAACAAAAACATATTCTGCTTTGTAAGTTAACTAGCAAATGGCAGACAGTCTTCCTTGATGTAAGAATATGACTCCTCTCAAAGGACTCAATAACTTCAAAAATCACCTAAGTGAAAGACTTACCAATGTAGGCTTCAGAATCACCAATATACATTTCTATGCAATGTCCAAGCATCGTGACTGAAAATGTGTCATCCCTCCTAAGACCAAGGGCCTAGTAAAAAAAACAGTGAAAATATTCAGTAGCAAATAAAAACATTTACATCTTAAGTCCATGATGGTTCCGGGTTTGTTCTTTTGTTGCTCAACAATGCCATCAGAGGAGCACAGTCTTCACTGTGAAGCAAAACACTGCACAACTAAAATAATACTGTTATATGAACTGGCTGAAGTAGTAAGCAAGCAAAGCACAAAACCAAAACCAGAGGAGGGGATGTATGCAGACAGAGAATCATTCACAAATCACAAAGTAGAACATACTACTAAAATAATGGTTATAATCCCTGTGAGGAAGTTAATTTTGTATAGCTAAGCTACATTCTATAACGAAATAGATTGAGACATGCTTAAAGTAATTACAACTAAATATATGTAATATAAGCTTCTACTTAAATAGAACTGCAGCTAAATTCAAGCCAATCAACTTGAACGCTGAAAATTCAACTGAAGAGAATTCACTGTTACTCTATGAAAACGTGAAATTACCAAAACTGTCCTGCAATAACTATATACAAGTATCATATAATAAAGATAAATCTGAGACAATAGAAAATTGCATATCTTAAATGTTGCACTTGATGTAAGTTTTCTACATCAAGGCATACGCTGGAAGCATTTTAAATAATTTCAGCTGCATGAGAAGTTTGTGTACATTAATTAAGTATTATAATTGGCATATACGTTTATTTATAACGGAGAAGGACCTAAGTACTAAGTTTCACAAAGTGGCCATTTTTTTCCTAATCAACATAAAAATTTCAGAAGGTTTAAAAAAAAAAAAAAATTAAGATTATAAAAATAAACACTGATTTGGAGGCTGGATAAAATGCTGGTTCTCTGTTCCAAAACCAAAACAGAATGAAACAGTAAATAAGAGAATCTGTGAGCAGCACTTTAATTTAAGCCTGTTACATACCGTATGAAAATAGTCGATTGCACTTTCAAAGTTGCCCATCAGACTATGGATGTAGCCAATGGCAGAGTAAGTAGAAGCATTTTGAGGAATTAATACTAGAGCCTGGCGATGGTATTCCAGTGCTTCTTCATATTTCCTGTTAGGATTAAATACAGAAGATCTATGAATAAGCTTCAAGGTGAAAGGTGTTTTTACAGTATCAGATGGGTATTTTCCTTAGCTCAGTGGCACACAATCCTGCAAGAACTTAAAATTATTGCTTCATAGTCTCAACATAATCTAACGTGTAAAAGACCCATGGATATTGACAATTTTCATCCTCAACATAACTGAGAAATCATTGTTCCCCTTATGTAGCACAACAGCAGCCTACAGCTAGGCCCCATTTGGAGATGATCTTAGCAAGCTGATATGGTAAACTGCTTTAGAAGTTTAATGCTGCTCATTGTAACATTAGCTTTCTTCCTGTAGCTTTCATTTTCCTCCCCAGGGGAGTGAAGGAGCAATATGAGACTAAATAACTCATAGTTCAAAGTGAGAAAAGCTCTTGGGGCAGAAATTTCACAGCCCTTAAGTGCTACATACACTGGTACTTTTGTTACTTTCATTTTGCTACCATCTCTATCAGAAAAGAAGATTTACACGTATCCATAATTTCTTTCAAATACCAGACAGCCTTTCTTGGAAAATTATCCATTAATTAGACTGCTTATTGCATTATATAAAGCAAGGATTAAATGTACACTATGGCATATACTCTGAGAAATTGTCACATTTGACATCCTAGTAACAAGTTGTTAAAAACAAGGATAGCAATTGTCTATTCAGAAGAAATTTTAATGTCTGTAGTTATAATGAAATTATGCACATAGCAACACATTAAGTTATTAGAGGGCATTAAGTAACAATTGAGGCAGAAAAATTATGCAACTGTTTGCTTGCTGCACAAAACTTTCTCATTATTTGAACTTTATTTTCCCTTATAGTATTTACCTGTCCAATTAACTACCACTGTCTTTTAATATGCTGCTTTCAAATTTCAACCACATAATGCTAGTGAGTAGACATATATCCAGAAGGTTTTTTCATAATAGCAATAGCATGTATTATGAACACTAGTAAATTAGTTATTACAGAATTTTTTAAGTTGTCAAAGCATAGGTACAGCTGCCTAAATTCTTGATTTTCTTGAAAGATGGTTTACAGGAATGTAGAAATACATTAGGTTGGCTTTTTGAACCTGAACAAATAAGACAAATGCAAATTGCCCTGTGATGTAAGTGGTTACCAGCTTATTGTAGAAAAAAAAAAAAAAAAAAAAAAGACAAAAGGACTTATAACTGAAACAAGTATTTGAAAAAAAGCCTGCAATTATATTCATGAATAGATTCCAGAAGCAGTGCCTTTTGTGTGATCTTGGCAGAAGGGGTAACTATTATACATCCCTATTTCATAATGAACATTAAGACTAATCAGCAATTCAAGCACAAAGCAATTACTACCAAAGCCAAAGCAGAAGTACAACTTGTATCTACCATAATCACATTCTCATTAGTAGCTTTGAAACAAAGATTACAGTATACACGAAGTGGACAACTAAAATCATGGCACTAAAAAGAAAAAAAAATATGGTACTGATAAAAGAAAACACTGGTTAAAATCAGATTAAGGTAATTAATGAGGAAACATTTCTCTATGTTAAAACTGTTAAAGTTTGTATATGTACTTTGCACTTTCTTTTTCTCTTCCTAAAATGGAAATATGAAATTAAATATGAAATAGTTCTGTTCTCAAAAATCATAAAGTAATATTTTGTTGCTGTGTTAATGCCACTGAATATTTCACTTCAAGGGGAGAAAAAAAAAAAAAAAAAAAGCAAGCAAGCACTGATCCAAGCAATTAATTGGCACAAAACCACCTTTATGTTAATTAAATCAGTGGACATATTCAAGTATGTCAGGACTGGGACAGCAAACAGTTAGAATTCAGATCCATACAAGGATCTCAAAGCCTACGACCAAATTTCTATCTTGTAAGAGTCAACAGTTAAGGAAGGGCTTTCACATTAAGTATTTTAATTGTGTGCAATAAACTGGATATAAGGGGTGATTAATGTATTTACATTCACAGGCTGATTTAGGGAATCTTGTTCTTATATGGTGCTTCTACAGTGCTCTTATGTGGTACATAATCTTGCTATAAATGAGAAGTAGGCCTAAAAAAAACACATTTCTGTAGTATTCCAGATAAATATAACTCTAGTACTTACTTGAGTTTTCTGCAGACGTGTCCTAAGTTGTTCAATAAAGGCTCCCACTTATCAACTGTTACCTGCAAAATAATGCAAGAATTCAAGTAACTGCAGCTTCCCAGATTGTAACTGAATGTTGTCTACTTAAAAACCATACAAATGAACAAGGCAATTCATTCATGATCAAGAAAAATATAACAAGCATTTTCAGTTCTTTTCAGAATACATATTTAAGATAAAAAAATTTATTTAATAACTCATTTTTCCAATTTTTCCATTCCCCAAACCCTATTAAATTTATTTAAAGGGTCACATAGTAAAACTTGGATGCAAACCAAACAAAATTTGTTTTCTACTTAAAAATCACATCAAGTCTCTTAGCCTGAGAGTACTGAAGATCCCCAAATTAGGCATTTGTAAAGTAATCATAAATACTGAAAGTCTTTTTACTGTCTTCTCCATAGTCTAACTTTATCTGCTCTAAATAAATTAGCTCACTTATAAGGCATGAAGACAACCTGAGCCAAAAAAAAAAAAATCTCTCACTTTTTGCTGAAATTAAAAATCATTTGGACTTTAAAAGTATCTCTATTTTGGGTGTTTCTCACTCTAATTCTAAATTGCCATTTAGTACTTCTCAATAAACAAGAAAAATGCCACACATAAAAGAATTTAGCCATATGCATAAATTGAAGCCTGATCTACAAAGTTTGTGGCATTCGTGTGAACAATACAGCTTTAACTACAACAGAACAATCCTATTTATATATTGGTGAGAATTTAAAATAGTAACTGTGCAGGTTGTTTTAGTAAATGTGTGCTTGTCCACATGAAGATTATAGTTTCTTCAGTGCTTTCCAGTTTGTAGAAGGTTTATTTTGAAGCAATTTCATTCTCTTGATAGGAAGTGTTAACAATTATAGCAGCATAAGGTCATGTCCTCATTAACTACATTTAAGCTAAAAATCAAGAAAATCTATCTTAAAATTAACAAGAAGCCTATCACAGGGTGGCACTACTTTCATTAAGGCACCTTAAGTTACTCTAGTATAATGTGTTTCTTTAGACAAGATAATAACACACACACAAAATAAATGGTATTACCAATAGGTACAAATTTGTGTGTTCCAGCATTTGAGGAACCAGGGTTGTAACAGCTGACTTACTGATTCACAAAAGTGCCAGAAATAGAAGCACATTTCCTGACAGACTTTTTACAACTGATTATTTTGATTACTTTCAGGAAGTTAGTTAAGCATCCCTGGGTCCATTCCCACACAGTGGCAGAAAGAAAGCAAATCCATACCTACAGGATTAGGTCCAAACAAAAGTGGAAGAAATAGCTAACACTTAAGGTGGCAGAAGCCATCTTCCCATGTGTACCCAGTTCCACTCTCAGGTCAAGAACCATTGATCTACTAAGATTCAAACCTGAGAATAAGGCTGGATTCCACTCTCTATTCAATGCTTACTTTCTTTTAATTTCATACAGAAACATACTTTTTGTCTTTTCCCATCACACCGAGGATAACGTGTGATGATTCTCATCTAAAAACCCAGCATGCACAATTACAAGTAGATGGCCGAAGTTTTAAAGTCAAATTTATATTGTATTACTTCTACCTTAAAATAAGATACTTTGTTAGAAGATATTACAGAATTTCCTGGAGGTTTACAAATTTATGATCATGCACGTTATTAGGAAAAATACCTCATTTCCAATAGCTTTGATTTTTTCCAGTGCATCAAGAAACCACTTCTCTGCAGTTTTCCAGCTAAGAATTGAGGGAGTGATGGGAAAGAAAAGTAATTAGTGAATAGTTTTCATTAACAGTATGAGAAAACTGTATTACAAGGAACAGTTCTTTGACATTATTTCGTTGTATAAGTGAAATTAGCTGTAAAAAATAGTAATTTACGTTCGGCTATATTTTGTATGTGCTCCTAAGAGCTAACACAACAAAGTTAAAAAGTCAGAAGCAAACCAAGAATACTCACTAAACAGTTCTTATATCTGTTAGGCTTTTTCAGAATATATTTGGAACCTCCCGAGCTGGCAAAATGTTTTGCTGTACAAAATCTTACAGCATGTGCGCACTTGTGTGTGCAGACAGATGCCTTTTCAAGGCACGCAACTACCCAATGACAGGCACACACAAGTTAATAATCGATCTCTGCGTGTTCCTCAAGCATTAAATTCTTTCCTCATTCAATCTTAAACAAAGAAAAACATTGTAGAAAGCAAGGGTTTAGGTAAACACCATCTAAACTAGAATCAAAAGAAACTTTTATTCTATAAATCGATACTCTACTTTAGTAGACAGATTGGAAATTACACTTCAGAATAATCCATGTTTAAGATTGTATTTAATCTCATTTTGCAAGCTTACTCTCCATTTTGAAATGCAACCACTCCAACTTCATGCATAACAAAAGGATCTTCAGGTGCAATGCTTAAAGCTTGGCTGAAAAACCTTTCAGCTAACTTTGAGTTGTTGGTCAAACCATATTCCAGTCCAATATAGAGCATCGGCAAATGACACCTATTAAAAAAAAAAAAAAAGTATCATACACTTCTCAGGAATGGCATTATAAAGAAGTGTCAACTATGTTTACATATGTTTATGTACATAAAAGTAAAAACCTGATTTAAATGGACTGTTAACCTAGGGGGCAATTCAAAAGACTTTACATCTTTGTTAGTTATTGACAAGAATTTGAACTCCAGTACATAATTGTAAATTGCTCTGGAATTACATGTATTTTCTTAGTGCTTAAGTTAGCTCTGAGGGTTCTTTCTTTTCCTAATATCCTTCCTACATTTCACTTACAAATTGAATATGGAAGAAGTAATAATAAAGAGATTATATTTACCTATAAGTACAAGCAAATACAAAATTTGAGTATATAATATGACATGATTAGTCAACTAGGCATTTTAGAACCTTCTCCACAGTATGATCAAGATAACACTGTACAGCAGTTTATGACCTGGTATTACAAACAATTCACAAATTTCAGAGAACTTTCCAGTAGAACATGGATTACCTAAATATAAATCTTTACTTTAGAACTTAAAAAAACCCCAACAATAATCAGTCAAATGCAAATGATGAAATTATTTGTTTTTTTCCTCCTTTGTTCTCTACCAGATAATTGTTGCAAATGGATTCCTACTGTTTAAAGGCATTGTAGGTCAATACTCAACGCTATTTATGGATTAATTTTAATTTTTCTGAATATGACATTTTTGACGTACCCTTTCATGAGCTGTGCAGCTGTAAAGTACGCAGCCATTGCTTGGTCGTGCTCACTCTCAACTGCAAATGAATGTCCATATGCTATCCATGCAGGTCCATAGGTTCTCTCAAGTGTAGTAGCTTTGCTAAAAACAAGAGAAGATCAGAAGCAGACACATCTGAAATTAAATTTCATCTGCTTCAGATGACTACTTACACAGCAATGCTACGGCACATGGTTAGGTATCTATCAAAATAATCTTCTGTAATGCCCAGTGGCAAACAACATTTCAAACTTCAACAAATTATTTAGCACTTTGAAGTATTTT